ATTGATGACAAACCTCGTTCTGGATGTCAGTGAACTTCCCAAACAGACAAAAATGCCGACTCGTAGTGCATTTGGAGTTTGTTCCACCAGGTCAGACTGTTAATAAAGCTTTCTATTTAGAGGTTTTGAAAAGACTGCATAACAGTGTGCAACAAAAGAGACCTGATTTGTGACAGACGGGGGACTGGTTTTGCCACCACAACAATGCACCTGGCTCCCCCAGCCATCTCAGTGCACCAGTTTTTGGCAAAAAAACAAAACAAAACAGCATGCCTCTCTTGCCCCATGCACCTGACTCACCTGACCTCTGTCCATGCAGCCTCTTTTTGTTTCTGCAAATGAAGAGGGACATGAAAGGACAGTGATTTGACAGATGGTAGAGAAGAGGTGAAGGAAAAATTAAAAAGAGGGAGGTGCTGTCAGCCATCCAAACAGATGAGTTTGAAAATGTTTGCAAGAATGGAGTCGCAGATTTAATAAATGCATTCAGTGCATTGGAGAATACTTTGGAAGAGAGAAGATTGTTTTGGAAAAAAATTTTTTTAAGTGTGTGTGTGGGGTACCTCTTCTTATTCCTTGGTTGCCTTCTTCCATTCATCCTCCCAGCCAGCCCGCAGACCCCCATTAAGTACCAGGTGTGTTCTCGGGCACTGCGGGACCCAAAGACAAATGAAGCAGGCTTCTATCCTTTCAAAGCCCACATCAGTGACCAGCGTAGCGGATGAAGCAGTATGGGGCATATTAGAAGCAGGAATCGCTTGCCATTCTTAAGAGTACAGCTTTCCTATTGCCAGGTGATCTTTATGTGTCCAAAGTGACACCTGAGCAGAAAGCACCTTTTTTATTATAAATATTGTGGTAGTGACATAATCTGTTATCAATTTGAGACTTACACGTGAAGGGGTGGAGTTTAGCCTGTCAATCCAGTCACAGCTTGATGACCTCATTTGGAGGTGCTAAGGAGATAAATAGCTCGCTGGAGGCGGGACACAGGCTCACTCCCTGTGAGACACTGCAGCTCACAAGACACAAGGAGCTACATTAGTGCCATGAGCTGGAGGAGCCGCGTGGAGACGCTGCCAGCGCTGAGATGGTTACAACCCTCTGGCTCCACAAGACTTTTCACCCTGTGATCTCCCTGCATTTGGCGTCATCTTGTGTGTTCTGTGAGTCTGAAGAGGACTTTATAGATTGGTATTGGGCATATGGGCTAATATCAGACTTACGGACTTGATCTGGACTGGGCTGGGATGTTTTCTTAATGGATAATTCCTCTTTATATAAAGCTCTTTCTTATACACATATGAGTTTCCCTAGATTTGTTTCTCTAGTCTACCCGGACTAACACAAATATCATTGCCTCACATCATTGTAAATGTTACTGCCTCACATGTCCTGAACACCTACTATGTTTGGGATATTTCATATGCATTAATCTCATGTACTCTTTAGGTGATATGTGCTGTCACGGTGTGGTGCCTGTTTCGCGAAGGCCTCGAGAAGTTATCAGAACAACCCAGTGCCACACCACTGGCTGATGGGGAGGTTGGAATTTAAACTGGTGTGCATCTGATTTAAAGCTCCTGCTGTGGTTAGGGGTTCACTCTCGGCTTCTAACCGAAAGGTTGGTGGTTCGAACCTACCCAGCTGCACTGCAGAAGAAAGGCCTGGTGGTCTGCTTCTATACAGACCACAGCCAAGAAGACCCTCTATGGGCAGTTCCACTCTGTAACAGAACACTCCGGGTCTCCATGAGTCAGGGCTGACACTATAGCATTGGATTTATACTGCTGCTCATTAAAAAGAATAATAATTAAGGCTACACTTGTGAGAATGGTGTAAGGCTGGGCAGTTCTGCGTTCAGTTGCACACAGGACGCTACGAGGCAGGGATGACTCCGTGGCACCCCACCCCAGCTGCTCCCTTATCTGAGCTCTTATCAGAAGGCGAGTTGTGACTGAGTGGGAGTGTGGACGTTTCCTGAAGCGATGAAGCAGCTGTGTCTCTGTAGCCGGACGTAAGCCGTGTTGTCATGGGGAGCTGCTGAACTGTAAGAAACACTCATCCTGACCTGTGTCGGTGCTGGGTTTGAGGTGGTGGAGGCCCACAGAGGCCTTGTGAACGTCTCAACATGCTCTCCTTTCAAGAGTGCTGCTGGAAGTGGGGGCAGCAGCGGAGTGGGGACATCCGGAGTGGGGACATCCGTTGTGTGTAGTGCAAAGCGCCCTGGTTGGAACCGAGTCCCAAAGCTCAGCCATCGTGTGACGACGCTGGGCTCTGGTGAATAGTCTGAGCCCTGATCTTTCAGGGCTCCTGCCAAGCATCTGCAGGGCATGGCTTTGCCCCTGCCTTCCCTGAACCTCTCTGTCCTTCGGCGGAGTTAGCCTATCTGTTCTGCACATGATGGCGTGGCAGCGTTCTGCACCAAGGACATGTGCTGGGATTCCAATGCCAAGAGCAAGGAGGAAGTGCGTCTTCCTGCTGAGTGCCATGGAGCAGGGTGGCATGGTGCCCGACAGCAATCGGGAGAGAGACCAGCCTGGGGAGGGTATTTACTGTCAGGGCTCTGGTTGAAGCTAGTATTGAATTTATTAACTTTGTTTCTCATAAACCTTGAGAATCAACTCCTCGGTCGTAGTTCGTTTACAAATATACTCACTTGATCTAAAAGTAGCCATGCTTTTGCCTTTTAAACAATTCTGTGCTGCACCTGTTTATCAGTTTGACTACTGTGAATAATAGGCATTTCCCACAAGCATCATTCAGAACCTTTCAGATATGTCAGGTGCCTTATATGACTTACAATGCTAGGAAATAAACTCATTCGGAGTACTTGAGCAACTTTCAAATGGAATCAAGTGCATGAGTGAAGAAAATAAACCAGGATTTGCGTAAACACTTGGTATCCGCTTCATCAAATTCCCTGAAAGGTGCAGATTTTAGTTGTCGGGGGAGTACATCACCACCTGTGAAACGCTGAAACATCCCAGAAGACACAGCCCAAAGAGATGCTCATGATGGTTATTGAACTTGTGTGTCGAGAATGTTGAGGGGCATGGACTCGAGGCGGTGCCATTGTCTCTGTACTTGGTCCGGATTGCAGAGTCTCTTCCCTAACTCGTGGGAGCAGGTGTACCATCTGGGCCTGGGGGCCACTGGGGTGAAGATTCCCAACCACTCTGTGGGGGTCCACACACGGCCATCGAGTCGCTGTCGGCTCATAGCGACCCTACAGGGCAGGGTGGACCTGCCTCTAGGGATTGCTGAGCCTGTATATCTTTGTGGGAGCAGACAGCCTCGTGTGACTCCTGAGGAGCGACTAGTGGGTTCAAACTACTGACCCTGCAGTTAGCAGCTCAGTGCATACATCACAGCATTCAGCCTCTGGTTGGAGGTTCCAGGTCGGGGCCATGGGCCTGGGGCTCGCCAACACCCTGCCAGGTATCATCAAGTCAGTCTTTCTCCTCGCAGGCTAGCTCTCCTTGCTAATGAGACCTGTAAGCCGACCTTGACTTCACACCGGTTACGCAACTCTTAGAGGACGCCTGGGTCTAAGCTGATTTCATACAACTGACACCTCAACCACTGGACTTTAAGTTGCGGAATGTGGGAACCATAGCTCCTGCCCACTGTCCCTGCTTACTGCCTCCGAGCAAGCAACTTCCAGTAGCTCTTTGTGGAGTCAGTGAGGGAGTGGGATTTGAACTGCTGTGTGTATGGTTTAAGATCCCTGGGTGGCACACATGACTTGCTTTTGATGGACGGTGTGAACCAGACAAGCCGGGCCTCTTCACATGGATGGAAAACACACAATCTTAAAGGCGTTTCTGTGTTGCCCCCAGATGTTTCTGCAGCAGCCAGCTGTGTCCCTGAGCCTTAGCAGCGCCCCACCGCCCGAGGCCCAGCAGCAGCTACAGCCGAGGTCTACGGCCGTGTCCCAGCCCCAAATTGTGTCCAGCCCCCAACTGACTGGGCAGATTGCCTCCACTCAGATCACAAGCCAGCACCTGCTGCGGGAATCAAGTGGGCTATCGAACCAGGTAAATAAGTGTGCTCTCTGTATGCATGCCGTCCCTGCCACCGAGACAGACACACCGGGACAGCCTGGGGCTCTCTCCGTGGCTGTCCCCTCTGGGCCCGGAAGTCCATCAGACTTCTTCCACCACCGGCCCGGAGCAGAGTGAGGAAGGGTTGCCTTCTATTTCCTTTAAGTCCATTTGAAGCCCCACGTTGTCCAGGTTTCCTTCTGTACTTTAGAGAGGTCTGTCCCGACATCATGCTTGGTCATGTCAAGGGTCAGCAGAAAAGAGGAAGCTGTCCTCAAGGAGATGGACGGACACTGTGGCTACAGCAATGGGCTGGCACGTAACCATTGTGAGGGTGGGGCAGGACCCGGTGGTTTCTGGGTTACTTTTGCCTAGGGTTCCTATGCATCAGTACCTAATACCACCACTCTCGGTAGCTCGCTCTTGCCCTTCAAAGTACCATGTAGCTGAAGCCCTCCGTTTTAATCCTCAATTGGGTTGAAGGTAGATCTGAAGTCCCAGAGCTTGCACTGAGGTAGCTGTCTGTCCCCATCATCAGCTCCCAGCATGCACCTCAGGCGTTAGCCGTTTTTATTGGGAGAACACAGGTGATCCCGTGCATTCAGTGCCCTTCCCCCACGACTGTCATGTTTCTCCCTGCCCCCGGGGCTCCTGCCAAACCTTCCCTCTCAGCCACTTCCACTTCTTAGCCACCGCCCCTGGCTTCCCACTCGGACATGGTCACAGGTCAACAAATGGCGCTTGAAAGGAGCTAACCAGTCCAGAAGCCCTGCTAGACAGGGACCATCCAAGCTGCCCGCCTGCCTGGGCTGGGCTTCTGCATTCGCCCAGGCCTTGGTTCTTCTGTCCAGCATCCACTGCCCTGCCGTCCCTCCCCACGCCCCAGGGCCACAGAGATGACGAAGAAGTGTCCTGAAGTCGACGCCCACCCCCCAACAATTGATAAGCTTTTTATCATATAAAATAAAATTCTCAGATACTTGTGAATAGGAGAGCCTTCTACTAGATAAAAGAACATCTACAAACAACCTCTTCAGCTAAAAGTACGCTTTTTATTTTAAACGTGTTACCGCATTCATTTAGCTTCCGTGTCAAGAGTTTTTTTTTTTTACTTTTTAAAAAATAAATGATTCTGGAACTATCGATGGGCACCGTGTTGGAAGTCCTTCAATGAAAGACAGCAGATAAATGGCGAGGGAAGTTGACTTCAAGAGGCGGACTCATGTAACTAGGAGATTGGGAAGTTCAAAACCCACGGGTCCTCCTGGCTCATGGGGGTCGTAGAGAGCTGGAAGGTCCAGGCTCTGTAGGTCAGATGACCATCTGGAGATTCCTTCTAGCTTCTGGAATTCTGGGGACCAGCAAGTTCCAATCTGTAGGTCAGGTGGCAGGCTGGAGACTGACTTTTCCAGGTTGCCGTCTTGGGATCTATAGTCAGGTGCTGGAACACATGCAGACCAGAGAGAGCATGGTCTACGCTTGACCCATGGGGGGTCGCCGTGAGTCAGAGCTGACTCAGTAGCCATGGTTGGTCAGTCCGGTGAATGGGATAGAGGAGGTTTCCTGGAGAGGCGACACCTGAGCTGAGTTGAAGCTTTACCTTTCTCGTCCACATGATGCTCCAGGGTCCGAAGCCGTTGCGAAGCCCACAGATCCTACAGGGAAGCGGCCACGCAGTGAGCAGCCTGGCATCCCAGTTCAGCAGCTCAGCCGCTGGCCTCCCACCCACCTTGAGCCTGCCCACACCTGCCCCTGCCACCCAGGACGCAAGTCAGTGCCATCCCAGCCCAGACTTCAGCCACGACCGGCAGCTCAGGTATGGAGAGTGCTTTCGATTCTGAGAGATTGGTGCTTCCTTACACTGTCTATTCCAAGTCCCT